TGTCACCCCTCTCCTGCTTCTTAGCGTTTCTCCCTTCCCTCCTCTCGAGTAATTCACCTGTTTTAGGATAGATGCTTCCTCTCCCTTCCCCCCCTATTCCCCTCAGTGTTCCCAAGTTCTCAGTCAACCTTTGTCTCAGGATTTGGCTCAGTATGCCAGATATCCGGTTTTGTCCTCAAACAGCAGGGCCTTTAGAGGTCAGGTATACAGTCCCTTCACCAGTTGGTACTCGCTGTTGCGCTGGGGTGGCGGGGGTGGGGAGTGGTGGGTTGGTGCAGTGCTATTTGGAAGGTGGTTAGTCCAGGGGTCATTAGTCTTTGTTTGTATGGGAGATGAAGGTCTTTGATCTCCATCCTGTATTAGTATGTCTGGGCAGTCTTGTGGGCAGTGGCAGGTCAGGGAAGGGGCAGTCTGGGGGTATAGCATCCATAGGTGGTGGTCCTTGAGTGTCTACCCCACTCAGGACAGAGGGAATCCCGTAGTGGTGTGACTTTGCCATCTTCTCTGCGATGGGGTTATTCATCCTGCTGCGCCGGGTTCGGGAGTCTGCGGGCAGGCTATCTTCATGGTGATTCCACACTGCGGCGTCGGGTTGCTCTTTGTGCTGGTGAGCCCGGTCTTTGTTTAAGCGGTCCCAGGATCCAGTCAGCCACCTCTGTGTCCCAGGCGTCGCAGGAATGCTGGTACTTCATCGGGCCTTCGCAGTGGGACCCATTCATTGTTGTCTGGCTAGAAGAATGAAGGGGAATCCCCACCTCTAAGGTACGTTGTGGTCTCTCTTAGCAGCAGGGTCTCAGGGCTCTGTGGGCTTCAAGCGTGAGAAGTGACAAGTCTTGATAGAGGGACACTTCTGCACCTCGGAACCTCCGTCTTGGTCTTGAGCGGGCTTTAGACTTGATCAGCTCCTTGACCGTGTAGGCATGCAAGTCACAGATTATGTCTCTGGGGACACTTTCTGCATTCCGCGGCCTAGTGGCTCTGTGTGTACGGTCAAATTCTATGCAGGGTGGTGTCAGGACCCAGGATTTCCCCAAACAGGGCCATTAGTGTGGCTTCCACGTTTTCTTCCTCATTGGGTCCGGGCAGATTGCGGACTCTGATGTTAGACCTGCGCCCTCTATTATCCATATCTTCATTCTGCCGTCATAAAGTTCAGTAGCATATTGCCTTGCCGTGTTATAGCAAAGTTGGACTCTTCTATTTGGCCTGCCATCGCTTGCGTGGAGGTTTCTAGAGCTTGGATGCGGCTGCCCTGTGCTACTATATTGCTCCTCAGCGTGGCCACTTCTGTGCAGATCGCCTCATGTATATTGTCAGAGTGTTTTTTCAGGTCAGTTTTGGTGACCATAGAGCTTGACAGTGCTCTGATATCTGCACTGATATCGGATAGAGAAGGTGTTGGTGTGCCTGATGTAGACGATGGGGCTTGGGTGTCGGCCATATTAGGGCCTGGATTTTCACATGGCAGTCTCAGTATGTGCGCTGTTAGGTGCTTCGTGGGATGGAGCTCTCTAGTCTGCCATCTTCGCCGGAGCCCATGCCACGCCCCCCTGATCTATTAAACACAGTGGTTAAAGGATAAGAATGAAAAATATATTCTGAACTGAATTCATCAGAGCCTTTTCTCTAGGTAAATGATTGATAGCGGTTTTAATTTCATCCTTCGTAATTGGAGAGCTAGGGTTTCCCATTGATCATTTCTTTATCTAGATACTCCTGCTTTATGGAGAACATCCATACCCTCCTCTGTCTACTTTTTGAAAGTATTCTTGGAATAGGGAGTTTATATGATTATGATAGGGTGTGTGATGCCCAGGAGGCTCTTTGATAACTGGGATTTGGGGACATTTTAAAGGCTCTCAAACTAGCTGCATAAGGACCATGCCAGACTTGTTTTCCCATCTGTAGACATTACTTTTTCTAGTAATGGCAAGTTCAGGTCGCTTTCCAATGTGTATCTTGGAGAAAAACTATATGAAGGTTGAGCTTTCGTAAGGCAATAGGAATCCTTTTCCATTTAATGAGTGTATTCGGGCCCTCTACATTCCAAGTTAAGGGAAGGGATTGATGTATGCCATCTATGTCACAGCTGGGAGATTCTGGATCGGTCTCTTAGTGGAGGTGAAGGTTTAAGATTTTGTTTGTTTCGATTGGATTTTGTGTGATGAGTGGGTGGAATGGACATCATTTTTCATTGTAATGTTTTACTGTAGAAAATAGCTATTTGTGGGTCAGTGAGGTAAAGCTTTACAGCCTGACTCGTGGGTCAGTTGGAGAAGGTAGCATGGTTATATGTTGGTAGGAGATGTGACTAGCAGCCACTGATAACCAAGCCAAGTTAGCCCCACAGCATAGGAATAGGAAGATGAGATAATGATGTGTGACAGAACAAGAAGTGCTGCAGCTGTTCCTGCTGGAACATTTTTACAATGGGCTACCCACAGAGATTCAAGATTGGGTAAGAGACCAGTATGTGCGCCTAAGACTTCAACTGAAGCAGCCCAAAAAGCAGATGAATATGCAGATACCAGGCGACCCCAGTGTCCGGCTATCAACCCAATCCACCGACCACCAGTACGCTTGGCACCCCAGTTTACCTCCCCAGCCCCTGCACTAGCTCTGAGAGCGCCAGACAAGGTAGACGGTCCGTGTCACCAGTGCCAACAGTGGTGCCATTACAAGAGGGATTGCCCCCAGCTAAGGGAACCGGTCTTTGTGAATCAGGCCTGGGTACCCTCCTGCACCGCTGGCCACTGTTATCAGGCAGCCCCCACCTATGGGCCCAATCCAAACGAGTAAGCCTGGAGCGACCTGCATGAAGCAGACCCCATAGTGGCTGCCTCAGACAACAGAGACCATTACCGACAATCGGTCCAGCTGAATGGACGCACTGTGCAGGATCTATGAGATTCAGGAGCCACACTGACCCTTGTACAGCATCAGCTCGTCGCAGAGAGGGACAAGACCGGAGGGACCGTGGCGGTCCGGGTGGCAGGGGGAGCCATTCATCGCCTGCCCACAGCCTTGGTCCATCTCGATTGGGGAGCCGGAACAACCTACCCACCGATGTGCTGCTGGGCAACGACTTGTGCCCGCTCACCTCCACCTACGTCTCCACCAGCGAATACACAGAGGCCTATTCAGTGATGACCCGGCAGCAAGCCTGCACCACCCAGGAGAGCTCACACTCTGAGGCTCAGGTAGGCCCACGCAACCATCCCCTTGTCCCGATTTCCCGTAGGCGTACCTGGAGCACGCACCCCGGTGCCATTCCCCCTCACCCTATTCTCTGTGGCCATTCCTCTACCCCTTGCCCTGGGATACCCCTGCAGAGTTTGGGAGGGAGGTAGTGTCCGACCCTCCCCTGAAGTCCTGTAGTAGTGGCCACTAGTCAAGCTGGGCTGGATAAGGAGTGGTTCACATGGGATTAAGGTTTACTGTATCGCCTGGCAGAAAAAGGAAAGCCAGGGACCGCTCCTACCACCACCAAACAGTTGGTGGTAGCCAGGAAGTATAGAAAGGAGCTACTGAAGATAGCTCATTGTAGCGGAGAGGCAGTATAATCCACGATATCTCCGCTGGGTAACAGGAACAACAAAGGATAATCCAGGGAATCAGCATACAATAATCCAAACAGCACTGCAGTAACCCTTCCTTCCCAAGAACTAGATGACACATAGGCTGGGAGTCAACTGAGGTCTTTTAATTCAGCTCCACAATTTATACAAGTCCCCATGCAAGGGGTTTCCTGAGTCCCCTCCCAGGGGTATTCCCAGAGGGGACTACATGGGGGACTTACAATACAGGACATTTCTCCCATCAGGCACTGCTGCACGAGAGGGATCCTCCCACTGGAATATACCGTTAAGTGGATTATCCCTCCGTGCAGCAGAACTCACAATTCATATTAAATTCAATAACTTCACCAATATCTGGGTTATTTAAACGAATGGACGTTCGGTAGATAGCTGGGGTCTGAGCGCATCATTCGTGAGATTACCGCTCAGATCCCAGCTAAAACAACTGAACGCCGCACGAAAAACACATTCACTAACACATAGCCTGAAAACACCGATTACAGATAAGGGAATAAAATACCGAATGTCCCAGACCTCCCGAACGGTCTGGAGGTTCAGCGGTGTTCGCGCCATCGAGTAGCCGTTTTTAGTACCACGCACTCGATGACCAAACACCGCTGAGGGAACAAAGGATCCAAGATGGCCGACCGCCGCATGGTCGGTAGTCGAACGGCGGCCACCCAGGAGAGCCTCTAATTACCGATTGCAACATTGTTGCTATCAGTTAATAGGCGCCACACGCCTCTAAGTGTGTGTGCTATTAAAGGATATCTTGTTCGGTTCCCGAACGGCCCGCAAAGGTGCCATTCGTGAAACGAAGGGGAATCAGCTATCTGTGTTCGGCAGATAGCCCAGGCAGGCAATACATCATTAACATTGCATTACAATACATGCTGGAACACACAATAGGAACCCCATACCGGCAACCCTTAAAGGGACAGTACAGATGTATTTAATAATGTCCAAGTGGCTAGGTTTGCCACACTCATGATATCCACCTGGCAGGGCATTTGTAATCTCCCAGAGCGTGAAGCGATACGGTCAGTCCTGCGATGTCTGCCAGAAGGTGGGGAAGCGGGGCGACTGGCACAAGGCCCCGCTCCATCCCCTACCCATCATTGAAGACCCCTTTGGCAGAGTAGCTGTTGATATCATAGGTCCCCTGGCTAAGCCTTTTCCCTCTGGGAAGAAATACATTTTGACCATTGTGGACTACTCGACTCCGTACCCTGAGGCAGTCGCCCAGAGCAATATTCAGGCAGAGACTGTAGCCGAAGCCCTGATGTGAGTGTTCTCCCAGATGGGTTTTCCCCAGGATCTAGGATCAGGGCACCCAGTTTATTGCAGAGGCAACCCACCAGCTGCGGCATTAAACACTGGGGCACCTCCCGATAGTCGAACAGGAGATGCGGCAGGAGATGCTCCCAGTCCTTGTGAGTCACAGCAAAGGTACTGAGCATCTGTTTCAACGTGCCATTGAACTGTTCCCCATAACACCCCCAAACCAAATGGCCTGTGCGAATGCTTCAATGGCACGTTGAAACAGATGCTCAGTACCTTTGCTGTGACTCACAAGAACTGGGAGAGATTCCTGCTGCATCTCCTGTTCGACTAGCGGGAGGTTCCCCAGAAATCCACAGGGTTCTCCCCGTTTGAACTGATGTTCGGACTGAGGGTGATGGGACCACTAGACCTTGTCAGGGAGCACTGGGAGGGAAAGGGGGAGCAGGAAGGGACCCCCATTGTCCCATATGTTCTGGGGTTTAGGGACGTGCTGGAGGGGCTCACTCACCTGGTGCATGGGAACCTCCAGGCGGCTTAGAGGCGCAAGCACACCTGCTACGATAAGGGAGCCAGGGGGCCGTAGCTTTCAAGTTGGACAGAAGGCTTTGGCTGTGAAACCAGTCCGGCATGATCGGCTGAAGGGGCCACCTGGCAGGGCCCATACCAGGTGGTGGACAAGAAGTGTGCCACTACCTACGTGATCGGCTCATGCTCGGGTACAGAAGCTACACTCATGTTTTATGTTAACATGCTGAAGCCATACCACGAGCGGACCGAGGAGGTCACCGCTATATGTGCACCTGTTTCGGAAGATCTTCCCCTGCCTGACCTGCTGGACCATGGAGCTCAGGCGGGGTCCACAGACTAGGTCCACTTGGGGGACCGGCTGACCGAGCAGGATCGCCTACAAGCTGCAAAGAGGGAGACCTTCTCAAACCTGCCAGCCACCCAACTGGTGGAGACCCGCGACCAGGAACCCCTGAGGTACACTCCATACTGGATAGCTGGGGCAGTCCAGGAAAATATGCAACAGGAGATCCAGGAGATGCTCCGACTGGAGGTGATCAAATCGTCCCAGAGCCCTTGGGCCCCACCATTAGTCCTGTTCTCGAAGTGGGACGAAACTACCCGGTTCTGTGTGGACTACAGGAAGCTCAACAACAAGACTGTCTCTGATGCCTACCCCATGCCCCTGATGGCTCATGGCTAGTATCTCACCACGATAGACTTATGCAAGGAATACTGGCAGATTCCCCTAGCAGTAGATGTTGTCCCCAAGCCGGCTTTCATCACCCCCTTTGGCCAATACCAATTAAAGGTCATGCCATTCGGGGTGAAGAACCCCCCCCGGCCACTTTCCAAAGGATGGTGTACCTGCTGTTGCATGGCCTCCAGGATTATGCCTGCGCATCGCCATATAAAGCTACACTTTGGAGAAACACCTGACAAATGTGGGAGCGGTACTAGACTGGATTAGGGAGGCAGGACTAACCCTAAAGCCCAGTAAAGGCAACATAGGGATGGCCGAGGTACAGTACCTGGGCCACTGGGTCGGGTGTGGGAAGCAGAAACCAGAGTCACCCAAGGATGAGGCAGTGGCGAATTGGCCCCGTCCCCGCACTAAGACTCAGGTGTTGGCCTTCCTAGGGACCGCTGGATACTATTGAAAATTTGTCCCCAACTATAGTGCCATAGCCAAGCCCCTCACCGACCTGACTCGAAAGAACCTACCCACACAGGTAAACTGGGCCCCCGGAGTGTGAGCAGGTATTTCAAGCCCTGAAGAACGGCCTGATAAATGCCCCTGTCCTGGCTGCTCCTAATCCCCGCAAATGTTTTTCTCATCCACACAGATGCTTCTATGTTTGGATTAGGAGCGGTGCTGAGCCAGGTCGGGGGGAGATGGCGGAGAACACCCAGTAGCATACCTCAGCAGGAAGCTACTACCCAGGGAGGTAAGCTACACCGCCATTGAGAAGGAGTGTGGGCACTCAAAAAGCTGCAACCCTACATCTATGGCAGCAGTTCACCATGCTCACAGATCACAACCCGTTGGTTTTGCTTAACCGGGTCACGGGAGACAATATCAGGCTGTTGCGATGGAGCCTGGCACTCCAACACTATGACTTCACAATCCACTAGCGACCCGGTGGGCAAAATGGGAACACCCACGGGTTATCAAGACAGATCGAACTGGAGCAGTGATCTGTGAGCCTTGCCCCGGACATCTACTAGCTGATCCGTTGGGAATCTGGCCGTGTATGCTGGCTAGTGGTTAAGGGGGAGCTGTGTGATGGAACCCAGGCTGTTCGTGTATTCCACCTGTCTTTATTAAGTATACTCCCCTGTGTGTTTGTGTAAAATGCATGCTCCCCATTCGGGAGTGCCTCCACGGAACTAATCAATTTGCCTCCCGAATGGGTACCACTCCAATAAACCATTTAGAACACTCGTTAGAACGTTCTCACCTAGATCTGATGCCAAAACCGCAAGGGAAGCCTTGACACGTGCCACCCCCTGAGTGGCCTCTATTTCGTATAGACTAACGCCATCCAGGGGGAGCATTTGTGAGGACCTCCCCAGTGCCCACTGGAATGTTCACACCAATCAATTAGAACGTTAACAACTCGCAACATATGTGTTGTGACAAACTCCCCTTCCCACGTGAGTTTCCCACGAGCTCCTGGAGGAGCCTGCTTGACAGCCTCCTGCCCAAAGACTATGGGCCCTGCAGGGATACCTGTAAAAAAAAAAACTACAGAACTTGACCAACCGTTGGCACTGATTTCATGGAACTATTTGGGAATAGGACCATGTGCACAGTCGGTCAAAATTATGACTTCCATGAAAATCCCAAACACCTGAACCGATCTGGGTGATTTTTGGATATGCTGGTCACCCAGATCGGGGCTATCAGGGGATGTAACTTTTGCATGTATGGTGCAGATGGGACCAAGGCCTCTGCAGAGGTGCTGCGGTTTGTCCCCTGTTCCAGCTAAGAAGTAGTCCTTGGAGGTACCCAGCCGGGGTACAGGGAGCTCTGTTACAGGTGTGAAACTACAAGGGTAGTAATTAGTGCTTCCCTGGGTGGCCGCCGTTCGCATAGACGAGCGCCAACCGGGGGAGCATTCGTATTCCGAAAGGAGATGCTTCCCTTGCCTGGTTTCACACAGGGACCCCGCGAACTGAGGCTGTTCGAGACAGGTACCGTTACGGGGTTGGTGTGGGCATCCTTTGGGGACAATGGCTGGGTTGGGCAGGCTTTCTGTAACTGGGAGTCAAAGAGGCGGGTGGTTTTCCTGAGCTGTGACTCCTAGGTGCTGAGGCTCATGGGAAGAAGATCCCCTGTCACCAGAAGCAGGAAATCCTGTACTTGGGTGGTGGGAACAGGGGACAAAGGAAAGTGGGAAAATCTGTACTTGGTTGGCGGGAACAGAGGACAAAGGGACTGGAACTCCTGTGTTACACTAAGAGCCCTGGGAGGGGGAGGACCTGGGGAGGGGACACTGTGATTGTGTGGTGTCCACCCCTTGCATGAGGTTTTGCATAAAAGCTGTGTGTGGCCAATAAAGTTCATTGTTATACCTCCAGAACACTCTCGTCCAGTTACTGTGTCTATGCACATGTTAAGTGGTTCCTGACTGGCTGAAGGAAGGGGACTAGCGGAGGTAACCAGTTGGGTTACCCGTGGTCCGTTACAGATGATATCTGTCTTGCTTTCGAAATGGCCAACGAAAAAACAAAACAACCAAAATATTTACAGTTAATGTATAGGCCCTCAGAATGGGATATGGGAGCACTGTGCTCTCCCAGTGTCTCTTCCTTCCCACTCCCTGTCTCCCACCGGCAGACAGAAGTGAGACACTGTGCTGGTGGCCCCTCGGTAGTTTGTCTCTGTAGACCTCATGGACAGATCATGGTTTGTGGCCTTGTTGCACGACTGACATTCAGGGGATGGAAGCTGACAGAACAAGGATTCTACATAGATCAAGGGTTCAGCAATTAGAATCAGACTTTTTAGCTTGAGTGGTAATATTAGGGGTAACGATGGTTTGTGGTTTTACTTGTTTTGTTGTCTTCTTGTGGATTTCCAGCTAGGAGTCCTGGGGTGATGCTTCCTGCCTCTCTGCAACCGGAGGATCTCTACCTGAGCTAAGCCCAGCAGTGTAGGACTTAGCTCTTTGGCTGAGAGTGTTCACTGATTGCTCTCAGCCAATGAGCTAGCTGTGCATAGCAGGGCTTGGCTCATGAGCTCTCTATAGCAAAAGAGGAGAGGCATGGAGTAGTGACCGCTAAAGCCCAGGTAAAAAGTCCCCAATTGTTGGGATTTCCAATTATGACTCCATAATGGCAATCCGATTTCTTCTTGTATCAACAACCTGTTGACACAGATTAATATTCTGCCTTTGCAAAAAAATAAAAAAATCCAGGTCTTTTTAAAAGCATATCTATAGGATCTGATAAGACATCATCTCTAGTCTTTATTCTTGTTGTAAGCAAAATGCCTTTCTTCCAGTCTCAATGGGCGAGCTTTTGTCTGTTGTATTTTCCAGTGAAACAGGTTAGTATATAGTAGTTTTTACTGAGACTGTATATATTTGTATAGTGCTATCATATCCCCTCAAAGGTGTCTTTTTTCCAAACAAAACAAATGCAGTTAGTTTGTTTTTAATGTATAATTTTTTTCATTTTTTTTTTTGCTTTTCTTCATTACTGTTTTCCATCCCACTTATTAAGAGGTTACTCCAACCACCATGACCACTTCTGTTTTTTTTTTTCTATTTTTGACATTCTTCTTTTTTGGTGTGCAGTGGTAAGTACACACTTTAATAATAATATAGAACATATGACATGAAATTTGACAATAATATATAGGCATGAGATGACCAGATGTGCTGCACTTTGTTTTTAAAGAGAAAAATATAACGAGTGAGTCAGTCAGGCAAAAAAACAGGTGATTATGTTATAAAGTATATTAGCAGACTTCACAATGAGTAACAGATAGAGGTAAGAAACCACTGGATCATGGTGCAATATATTGACACAAAACTCAGCAAAGCCTAATTCGCAATAAGGTATAACAAAAAGAAAATGCCTGTAGAGGGCACACAAACTATATATCTCTTAATTGTGTCAGTGAGATATGAGGGAAACCCATAAGATAAGTAACCGGAGTACTGTCCTCATTGGAATACACACCCTGCACATATTGAGATTGTTAGGAGTAGCAATAGTGCAGGTATGGTGCACCTCTCCATCCCCAGGCTGGTTTTCTGAATGGGAACTTTGGGCCAATGACT